AATTACAGTTTTGTCTGTACATTGCTTAGAATCATGCAGGTTATGGTTATTTTTACGTTTCATAACATAAGAAAGCCGAAACAAGTCTTATCTCAATTTCTGTCTGTCTGTTTGTCTATTCTGTGCCAAAATGTCATTTTGCGCGGCCTACTCCTAGAAAACTAAAGTTCCGATCAAGGTTCTAATAATTTTTCCGTATTTACTGGATTGATGAGAGTGTCTTTGGCTATAAAAACATGGCCTCGCTTCTTTGAAAACAAAATAACGAACCATCAAAAACCCAATTTGGTTCGAATTTTGTCAAATTTTTTCCCAATCTATCTATATATCTAATTCCGTAAGCCCAAAATTTTACAATGAAATTGTGAGCGAACGGGAAGACGTAGAAAGCTGGGAGAGGTCTCATTTTAAAGGTCTCGGCATGAAATTTTGGGGAAAAATATTCATTTTTCTTAATTATGCGCCAAAAGGTTGTTACGGAATAAAATAATTCACATTTAAATAACATGGGAATCTAGGTCATGTCTGCTTTGTTTACTTTAAAACACGTGGTTTAACTTTATTTAAAGCATATGATATGTAATATGTACTGTAATATGCATACTATTATAAATTTGAAATAGACGTTTTCCCAATTTTAAGGGTCTGGATTAGATAATGGAGTACGATTGGTTGTGTTAGGTATGTCTGAACAAAGTGTAAAGTTAGAAGTGATTACTGGAGTAGGCAAAGGGAACATATTTTTTCATGCCAACCAATGTTTACTATTACACTTTATGAAATAACGATCAGCTGTTTGGATTAGTTCTCACTTCTAGCTGTCACGTATATGTGTACATTAAAAGTTGTTTACAAATACCGCAACCATTTCCGATCAAGTTTTGTTAGCACATCCAAACTGGGACGGGTGGCGACGTCCTGTAATCCAGCTACTAGGAGGTCACGAATTGTGGATATTTATAGGCATGCACTTTGGATGCGATACTCTCTGGTGTGGATTAACGTCCGCACGAGTGAGTACTACGACTATCCGCAGTACTATCCTGGTAATTAGACCAATTCGTATATACCAAGGCAAAAATGTGGTTCGGATTCCACTTTAAACTGTAGGTCCCTTAGTTGCCATCGATGGTTGCCATTAGCTGTATGGGCTATTAATTAACAGCTGTGTCTAAGGAATATGTCGGCCTTAGTCACTAACAAGACTACAAGATCGCGCCACTCATCCTACTACACTCATCTCCATTCATACTTGGCTTAAAATACCTACTTTGTATGGTCGCCATTTCATCGAAAAGTATTAAAAAGTATTAAAGTATTAAGTTAGATTAAAAACGTTGTGCAGCCTTGGTTGTACCTTACTTAACCGGTTTAATTAATCGCAAGTGCAACGATTGTTCTTGAGTTTTGATAACCGGGAAAAATACTGTGAAACAGTGCTGTATATTAGTGCTGGTAAACTTACATTTATTTATCATCGTAACTAATAGCTTACAAAACAGGTTTCCACTCATTGACGGCGCTTCAAAGACAGATGTGTAAAGTGCAAAGTAAAAAATCAGAACTGCAGTGGGTGATCGTGGATGTTGCTGCGATCTTGGAAGATCTTTGTGATTTCGCTGTGATCGTAACAGAGGTAACAGTTTAGCTTACAGATGTAGCTAAACTCACTTTTCCAATGTGCCACTGGCTGCCATTTTTGGTGTCTACTTACTTACATTTCGACAACGATATCGGTACTTTTCCTATTTAGGAAAATTACTAACGTCCGAAACCTCTGATTTGTGCGTTTTTTGTCACATTTCCTCCGAATGTTTGCTAGATATATGTACCGATTATCGTTTAGAGATTACGTAATAATAAGAATAACGTCAATAATATGTTAACATTAAAAGTTGCTTACAAATAATACTATTAATGGAAAATAAATTTTCGAAAACTTAAAAAATGTAAAACCAAGGGAGATTAATAACTTCTGAACTGTACAACATCAAGTGAAAGTTTTTTTTAGAAAACCATATAGTGAGTTTTTAAAGCTTTACAATGTTAACATTACATGTTACATAATTTGTGGCCTGTGTATTTATTTATTTTTATATTTGTCAACGGATTAACACCTATAATACAGTTTAATTAGAAGGACAGTTTGAATTGGTCGTAAGTAGGCCTACTATAGTTCTTTTCTTAAATGTAAACGTTGGTTTTTGGTACTGCTACACTTTTCCTTAGAACCATTGGTAGTAGTAAGAAACAGTTTTACGTACAAACACATTACTATTTACAACTATAGTTATCGTTAGTGCTGCACCTTATTTCTTATTAAATTAAATTGATGTCTTCCTGTACAATTTTTGCGTTTTCTGTCTGGACTCCATAATGTTAGTTAATGCAATGAAAATGAAAAACCATTAGTGAAAATTTTTTTTGCATACCATCATGAATTTTTAAAGCTTGGCGTTGTTAACGTTTTAAATGTTTTGTGGACTGTGTATTTATTTACTTATTTATATATTTGCCAACGGATTTACATCAATTTTACAGTTTGATTAGGACTAACAACGATTATGATAAAATTTGATGACACTATCAAAACTTTCAAATAATTACTTTGTAATTTGCTTTGGTTAAAGCGTAGCAAATCCCCTAATTCAATTCTGTATTTTTGTTTGTATGTCTGTTGGCAACGCATTAATGTCCTTTTTCTCATTGTTTCGTGGGAAAAGACAAGAGCACCTTTGTTAATGAAAATTTCAACCCGAATAAAGTGTGCAATAGTAAGGTTGAGGTAGTAGTATATTAACTACTTTTAACCTGTGTGAAAAGTAACTTTCAATTACAGGCCTTCTTTTAATGCAAAATGCACACTAAATATGCAAACCAACTCCTGTTCAGAATATAAGGTTTCAACTTACTAAAAGATTTCCGTAGGCCCTACGTAGAACGGGCAAACAGCTAGTAAGTAAATAAATGCACAGTACACAAAACATTGATACGTTAACAACGTAAAGCTTTAAAAATTCATGATGGTTTACTAAAAAAATATTTCACTAATTTTTTATCATTTTCATAGCATGAGCTATTATTTTGGGGTCCAGAAAGAAAACGTAAAAATTAGAGTGCGAGAGTGTTTTGCGCCAACTCTCGCAATGCTGTTTTAGCGCTAACACATCTCGCTATTTTAGTCATCGGAATGAGCATTCTCAGTTAAAGAAATAACAATTATGATTACTGTAATTTTAATTGCCTGACACAAGTATTCAATTTTTATATATTACTGATAGGCTTTATTCATAGGCTTTCTTAGGCTATGAAACGTAATAATAACCAAAAACTCCATGAATCTAAGCAATGTACAGACGGATAAAACTTCAATTTGATTAGAATAGATGTCTCTTTCCGACTTACAGAAAATACTTGTTTTTAAATCATACACACTAGTATCTGTTAAAATCAGGAGTCCAGTCTAGTAAGTGTGTCCGGTCAGAGTATGAATGCGAGGTTGAGATGACGAAGCTACAGTCGCGTTGCAGGGCCGGGCAGAGCGGCTGGGCACTGGAGCTGCGCTATGCGGGGGGAGGGGGAGGGGACCGGAGCGCGAGAGAAATAATGATAATTTCTTTAAAAAACGATTCCGATACAACCGTTTGACCGAATTTATATCTGAAAACGGCAAATTCTTTTAAAATTTCTCTTTACAAAATGACTACCTGCGATTGAAAAAAATAATTACAGCAAAAAAAATTGTTTATAAAACTTTTTTGTAAATAAATTTTAAAAAACATTAGCAAAATAGCGTGAATGTCTTATTCATATCATTTACAAAACCGTTTACAAAACAAAAATCTGATGATAAATACGGAAATTATAAGTGGTACAAATTTGCCGCAGAGGTGCTGCTATCCATCGGGCCAGAAACACAACTTTTTCAGGGATGTTTAGCCTTAATAAAAACTACTGTGCAAGGGGGCCCCCCTAGGCCCGCGGGCCCCGGGCGCTCGCCCTGTTCGCCCTTAGGTAAGTTCGGCCCTGGCTTTTATAATGTCGTGTGATGGAACTGGCAAAACTTGTTGAAAATGACACTAATTTTTCTTAAGGAAGGTTGTTATTTATGAGGTCGTTTACTAAGGCGAGTGTCTCTTTTGGAATTACCTATGGGCATTTTGTCCCAGGTGATGAGGTCTGCTTGAATTCCCTGTCCTTTGTGTCAGTGCTTATCTATGAGTCGGACGGGTCTAAGATGGTCTGTTACTGGTATTTTGAAGAGTGAATGTGATGTTAGTCCATCTGGAAAAAGCTGTGCATTGGTTAATGAATATCACTGTCAAAACATCTTTGCCATCCCCTCGTAGCATATGAAATAGCGTTTAGTATAGCACAGTTTTTCCAGATCCTCCAGGACCAATCAGGTTAATGAATTTTTAAATTGGAATTTTATTTCATACTGAATTGAGTACATCCTTAGTAATTGGCTAATGTAATATGTAATAATATGTAATTATGAAACTCGCTCTCAAATAAAGGCCTTTTTATTTATTTATTTATTTAATATTAATATGTAATATGTAAAAAAATGTTTAGGTGATGCAACATGAGGTTGTATGACTGTTACAACACTTATGGTTTGGGTGTGTATTGCCTTAAGAAATCTTTGCTAGGTGCGTCCAAAGAGGGGTACCTCTTTGAAAATGCCCCACAGCTCTGGTATGTTAGCGGGGTACATTTAATTAATCTTATAAATAAACTAGTTAGCCTACTTAAAAATCATTATTCTAAGCCAGAATTAAATGACGACTGATACAATAGAATGTTTTGATTTCAAACCACTGAAATGTGTGTGATTTGTATATTTTTCTGGTGAAGCGGTAAAAAGGTTTATCAAATTATATATAGCCTACCTCATTTATGAAAATTGACTAAGAATTAAGGAAACCATAGCGTAACAAAAAGAAAAAACTCTTTAAAAATAATATATTTTTTGATGTTATGGAAATACTATTTAGATGGGGTCCGAATGGGGCTCCAGAATACAAAGACAATATGGTGAAGCTGATGAGATTGATGTGCCACTGTCTGCCCAAGCAATGTCTGGTGATCTGGTCCACAGCTCTGCCTACAGCTCCTCACATCAAAGGGGCTCTGATCATCAAACAGGTAAATACATATAACATATAACCCCCTATGCTTGTAATAACTAATTTTTGTATATTCTAAAAGGGGTTTTTGGTGTAGAAGCTTGTAGAAGCTGATGTAGAAGCCCTTTTAGGGTCTGTTTAACGTTATACCATGATATTTTTAGACTGTCAAAATTTATAGTAGACTAGCTGTTGTACCCGTGCTTTGCAACGGGAAGAAGACATGACATAGAAACATTTTGGTCTTAATAACATTTTTACATCGCTTTATAAAATAATTACACATCTGCGAACGCTTTTAGAAACAAAATTAAACCTTTATGGCCTTTATAGAAACGTTTGTAGCTTTTAAATCTGGTAAGTAGTGGAAACCGCCATTTTGGTTTTGATTAATTTTAAATCTTGTGTAGGCTGATATGAGAAAAACTTACCAAATGTTTGAATTACATTTTCACATACATGATTAAAGTACCTACCTCCTCCCTTATTTACATATCTTTTTTCTTTATTTTGACATTTTAACCCTTCCCGGACGGGTGACGGATATATCCGCCTAAGGCCCAATTCACACCAAACGGACGTCGGGCGGAGACGTGGCACGGACGAGGCGAGGACTTATGTCCGTTCCTCGCCTCCCCATGTAAACAAATTGGTCAATGCACACACAAGTGACGTGGCGCGGGCGGCCGCCCTCCCGCCACCGCCACGTCGCTTTGGCGTCCCTCGTGGCGTATCGGAAGTGGCATGTCCGTAGCGCGCCCGTTGTTCGGACTGCAAATATTGTACTATACTTACCAACCTTCTTGTGTATAGTGTGCTTGTACTTACCAACCTTGTTGTGTAGAGTGTTTTTGTGTGTAGATTGTGAGTTGTTTCTTCACTATGCGAGACGACATTGAATTTAATATCAAATTTTGTGAGGAAGTAGAACAATTCCCTTGTTTGTACTAATTAAGTTGACAGAAATCAACTAACACCATTGACATTAATATAAATAAGCAAAAACCAAAACGTCTAGTCTACATACAGGTTGTCTCAACACTGTACCGTCCCTTCACCGTCCCTTCGGTGTGCATTGAACACGCCACGTCACTGCCACGTCTGTGCCTCGGCCGTGCCACGTCTCCGCCCGATGTCCGTTCGGTGTGAATTGGGCCTAAGTCTTTAGCGATAAAGGACGGGTGGCGGATATATCCGCTTATGGTTTTTGATGTTCAGGACGGGAAGCGGATATATCCGCCTTCTCTTCAGACAGACTGGCAGGTGCTTGAGCAGTAACCAGATGTTTTGTGGTACCAAAGCACCGCTTTCCTGCTCTCTCCATGGCTACGCTCTCTCTCCCGCACTCCCCCCTCTCACCCGCATCTACCCCTCTCAAGTGCCTCCCCCTCTCCCGCGCACCACCCACCTCTCCTACGCTCCCCCCTTGACGTTTCGCACTCAACACTACGTTGTCTTTATTTATTGTTTACATATTGTTCTTTATTTATTGACTAACGAGGATATATCCGCTGCTTTTCTACTCATCCGTGGACGGGTAGCGGATATATCCGCATAGTTAAAAACTAGTAAAAAATTATTTTGACAGTAAGAAGTGTTCCATTGTGTTTATTTTATGTATACTTGTATAACAAAACACGAATAAGGAAAATTAGTTTTTATTTTTTCCTGTAATTTTTTCCCGTTCTATGTCATGATTTTGCCTGTCCGGGAAGGGTTAAATATAAATCTTGAAGTTTCAAAACTACTTACAGTAGACCCCCTCTTAACCGACCTCGTATTAACCGATAATCGGATTATCCGCCTTTGATCGTAAAATAATACAGTTTGTTTTAACCGACCTTGCTTTGAGAGCAGCTCGGTTTAACCGCCGCTTTCTAGGAATCTCGGCATTTCCGCTCCCACGCTGGGCAATGAGAACTGAACCATACGCTTATCTCCACAGGATATGACTAACAATAAGTTATCTTGTGAAGATCACAAAAAATATAGCATAGCCTATTGTCAGTTTGTCATCATCGTACGTAGCTCGAGCACATCTGATCTGATTTGTTATCTGTGCGGCAAATTTATAACATCATAAAGTGCGTTACGATTTTGAGAACTGATTATCTTATCGCTGGAGTAAACAAACAACGCAACTTGTAGGGAGGGCAGGGAAGGGGTGTTAACAACTCCAAGGTCAAGATAGTTTTTTTGCCTCGAGCCTCCAGTGAGAGGCTATAAATAAACGTCCTGTCTTGTAACAAAATGGTCGCTTGTATCTTTAATGACGACAAAAGGTTCTGTACTGTATTACGATGTATTTGGAAAGCATTAATTATTACATTACAGTAGTAAAGTTATTGAAATAGGAATTTTATTGACTCTTGCCTAGTATTATAATATATTCTACTGAAAGTAGGCCTATTTGACTTAACCGTGTTTTGTGTTTATTTGTGACATTTCTATCAATATGAAAAAGGAGATAAGAGTAGTTTATTTTATAAATAATGCAAGTATGACTTCAAAATAATGATTATATAATTCCAAATGAATAGCACTTTATTATGTTATGATTTTAGGGATTGCCCGTTTTATCCGACCTTTTGAATCATCCGACCTAGGTCCGGTCCCATTTGGGTCGGTTAAGAGGGGGTCTACTGTATTATTAAATTTAAATGAACAATTTTTGTAGGTCAATCTTTTTCAAACTAAATTACAAATCCTTCCATCTTCACCCTTATAAAAGATTAGTAAAACTTACATCAGCTGTTATAAACTTGTGAAATATTGTGCATCATCAATAGTCTTTTGAAATATTAAAGAAACAATATCTATACTACAAAATGTTGCAATTTATTAATTTATATAAGTAGTAATGCCAATAAGGGGTTTTTTAAATGAAATAATAAGGAAAACTTTTTTTTATGTCTTTAGTACATCTATCTATATATTTAATACGCGACATGAAACTTTGTGGACAATAAGGCTTTTTTGTGTTAAGATTTAACCCCACATATTATATACCAAAATCTTCGTCTGGGAGTGTAGATGTGCAAACTGGCTTTAGATTTTCGAAATATATCTTTTTAAGGGCGTGGGCTGCCCTCAAAGTTCCTTCCATAAGGATAACATTGTGATTGATTTGAATGTTATTATATTCTGAAACAGATGTCAATACATTAGTTTAAAAAAAATAAATCCCAGCTGTTTTGTTTGGTTTTGAAATGTAAACAGTTTGCATGTTTTGAAAAATAATTAGAAACCCGGCAGCAAAATGTTACCAATAGGACACAACGGGAGAAAAGTTTTACATTATATTTTTGTTTAAACATGTCACCGATGACAAAGAAGTATTGCTGGTCGGACACGGCGAGTCAACATACGGCAAGCAATGCAAAACGTAAGGAGCCCAGACGAGGAGCTGCGGAACAGTTAGTGGCAACGTGTACTTACAAAATTACACTGACAAATACAAGAACTCAGCAGCATTCACTTGGCGAGATGGCATTAAAATGTCAGAAATGTGTTGAAAGAAGAACAAAGAGGACGAGACGAAGGATTTTCATCCTGCTGCCATAAAGGATAAGTGAATTTACCACCATATCGAGAAATCTATTATATCCAGAGCTTACTTAATGTACCTAGCAAATCATTTAAGCAGAAACTACAAAGATAACATTTAGATCGTTATCTAAATGCGCTCGCAATGGTCAGCACTCGAGCTAAAATTGAAGAACATAACAGTGGAGGGCCTTTCATGTATAAGGTGCACGACACAATTTAAAACTCAATTGGCACCTTACAACTGTCAGAAGGGGATCATCCCACATATGCCCAAATGTATATCTCCGTACGTCAAAACCGCTTCACGAAACCGTTCAAGGAAGAATGCTAAACAAAGCTAATGGCTCTTGCAGCACTGAACTCATGCACATTTTTACTCATCATTTGGTTGATATTAATCCATACGCGCAGGTTTTCAGCATGATGAGCTCCGTCCCGCCAAATAGAGCAGAAAGAATAACCTAGAATGCAAATATTCAACGATCGAGCTTAAGACCAACGTCGATACAACGACGCAACTTCTAACGACGTTTGCTAAAATATCCTAATTTATTATTCGTGCGAATTCGCACGGGTTCACCTAGTATTATTTAATTTTCAAATGCAATTGAGCATTGAAGACGGCAGACAAAACTAATATAATTATCAAAACAAACATAAAGGACTAACAAATGTAGTAGTAAATATAGTGTTTCTATTCCACAAAAATATCAACAAACAACATAATATTCAACCCAGTTCTTTTAATCAGTTCTACAGTCAGATTGCCTTTACATTTTCACACTTACCATTTAGTAAACATAGTAACAGATATTTCATTGTGTGTACATGTTTATTATTATTGTGTATTATTTCTCATTTATATTAGGGATCTGTCAATTCCATTTTCAATTAGTTTACACAGTAGTAATATCTACCTGTATGCTGATGATGTCACTTTTAAAATCAGCAATTCATCTTTATCAAATTTAGAAAATCTTTGTTCTGATAGCCTACTTTAAATATACTAAATACTTTTTTAAATTCTCATCAGCTCTTGTTAAATTTAAGCAAAAGTAATTTTATGTTTTTTACAACAGGAAAAAGAAAACAAATTGTACAGCCTGTAATTAAATTTCAAAATAATAACCTAAATTGGACGAAATCACCACAACAAGGTTTTTAGGATTAATTGTAGTCCAAAATCTTACATGGAATAAGCATAATTACTTCTGGTATCTATGCTATTAATAGAATTCTTTATTTTGCTTTTATTGAATCATCAATATCTTTTGGCATAAGTATTTATAGCTGTACCTCTAAGCAAAACCTGAATAGAATTCTTACTCTTCAAAAAAGTACAATCAGAATTATGTTAAATTTAGAATGGGATACTTCCGCTCGTTAATATTTTTCAAAATTAGGAATAATGACTGTGTATAGTATTTAGGTGTGAGAAAGGATAGGTTTATGGTTTTTGATTTTCTTCAT